CACCCACATGCGGAGTGGGTCTTCCCAGCTCAGTTAATCCTCTCTGGAAATGCCCTCACAGGCACACCCAGACGTGTCCTTTAGAAATCCCCGGATGTCCTACTTCAGTCAAGTTGACAATAAGGATTAAACTTCATACAGGAGTTTGTTCTAAGAAACTGGCTTCTACGATTGTGGGGTCTGGTTAGTCCAAAGTCCAAAACAGTGAAAGCCTTCAAAGCCTGGACATTCTCAGGTGGGAGCGGAGGCTGCAGGTGTTTGTGTGTTTGTTTGTCAGGGTCACAGTGCAAACCCACTCAGACTCTGATTCACTATATGGCTCCAGTCTGCCCTCTAACCTGCAATCCTCCTGTGCCAGCCTTCTGAGGGCTGGCATTAGCAGTGTGCACCATCACACCTAGTCCACTAGGCTACAGTCTTGAAGTAAAATTTCTTTTTCCCCAAGGAAACCAGCTTCACTTTTAAAGTCTTTTCATTATGCAGCTGAAAACCACCCAAAGTATCAGACTTCAAGTCAGCTGTACGTAAGTGAGGGCCACATCAAAACTCCTTCACTACAGCCCTGCAGGTGAAGGGCTGCCACTCTACCACTGAGCCACAGCCCCAACCCCAGATGAACTGATCTTGGTGGTATCGAAACGTCTTGTCTGGCTAAGGAGATCATTTAAAGCCATCTTAGGAGCAAAGAGGGCCACCCATTACCTAGTTTCTCAATATTGCTGCTGAGTAACGGCGTCCAGGAGAGCAGCAGGGTTGTGCCGGGGCCCAGGGAGGCCTCCACTGCACTGGGATTTACTGTGGGGCTCAGGAACTAGCAAAAAAGCTTTGCATCTCTTGCAAAAAGGCTGTTGTTCACTCTGTCACTGAGGATGACTCTTAGTGTCACATGTCTGGGGAAAATGGTCATTGGTCAAATAGACTTTGTCATACAGATACTACAGAAACCCACAGTTCCCCATTCTGTCTTGACACTCAGGAAGGTAAAACTAAACGTAATGCTTGAATGCAGGGATGGCTCTGACTCTGGGTCCGTCTCTTCTCCCTCACCCCCTGTGACTTTTCTCAGACACTGCTTTAAGCACCCTTTGGCACATGTGGGTCTGTTATAAACTACCTCAGATCCCCTTTGTGAATGGTAGACACAAAGGCACACACACTGAAATGACTTAAGAAAAGCAGGGCTGGAGAAATGGCTCAGAGGTTAAGAGCACTGGCTGCTCTTCTGGAGGTCCTGAGTTCAATTCCCAGCACCCACATGGTGGCTCACACCCAACTATAATGGGATCTGATGCTCTCTTCTGGCAGAACACTGTATACATAATAAATGAATAAATCTTAAAAAAGAAGGAAAGAGCCGGGCGGTGGTGGCGCACGCCTTTAATCCCAGCACTCGGGAGGCAGAGCCAGGCGGATCTCTGTGAGTTCGAGGCCAGCCTGGGCTACCAAGTGAGTCCCAGGAAAGGCGCAAAGCTACACAGAGAAACCCTGTCTCGAAAAACCAAAAAAAAAAAAAAAAAAAAAAAAAAGAAGGAAAGAAAAGCAACCCAGCCAGGCATGGTGGTGTACACCTGCAACTCCAGAGCTTAGATGGTGGAGGAAGAAAGATTAGGAATTGAAAGCCACCTGAGATGCCTGTGAAACTTTCTCAAAGCAGAAGAGGAGGAAGAGGGGAGGAAATGCAGACAGAGGTTTGGGTCCAACCAGGATTCATTAACTTTTTTTTTTCATTATTTAGGGTAGTATGTGTGTATGAGCATGACGTGTGTATGTGTGTGTGTGTGTGTGTGTGTGTGTGTGTGTGTGTGTGTGTGTGTGAGAGAGAGAGAGAGAGAGAGAGAGAGAGTGTGTTCAGTCAGCTCTCTTTCCACCTTTTCATGGGTTCCAAGGATCAGCTTGCTTTCTCAGACTTGCAAGGCGAACACTTCACCACTCAGCCATCTTGCTGGTCCAACTTCATTAACTTAATTAATACATTTTTAAAAATTAATTTTTCTAGAAAAGAGAAATTGCAGTAAAATCTTTGGACAGCCAGATGATGGTGGCTCACACCTTTAATCCCAGCACTCAGGAGGCAAAGGCAGGCGGATTTCTGTGAGTTCGAGGCCAACAGAGAGAGTTCCAGGACAGGCTCCAAAGCTACACAGAGAAACCCTGTCTTGAAAAAAAATTTGGACAATAAGGGCCGAAGAGATGGCTCAGCTGATAAAGGGGTCTGCAGCCAAGCCCAACACCCTGAGTTCAACCCCAGGGAACAACAAGGTGGAAGAAGGCAGCACCTACCAGTTGCTCTATGACCTCCACACACACATAAATAGATAACAAAGGTAATAACTTTTTAATCTAGACAATAGACAGGTCTAAGGAAGGTTGTGGATTTAAAGGAAAGTAGTCAACAAGGCTTGTCGTTGACCACTCAGAGCTCTCTATGATTGCCCAGATTAAAAACAAAACTTAACAACCAGGCCAGAAACCAAACAAGATCAGCACATCTGTCACCCCAGCACTCAGGATGTGGAGCCAGGAGAACCCCTAAAAGCCTGGGCTACATAATGAGTTGTAAGACAGAGCTACATAAGGAGACACTTTAAAAAAAAAAACCCTAAGAACCTCTCAGCACAACTGTCAATATATCCTTTTTAGAATTTATTTATTTTATTTTATTTTATGTGTATGAGTCTGCATGTTTATGTGTGCAGCACATGCATGCCTGGTGCCCATGGAGATCAGAAAAGGGCATCAGATCCTCTGGAACTAGAGTTGTGGATGGTTGTGAGCTGCCATGTTGGATGCTGGGAAGCATCCTCTGCAAGGGTAATAAGTGCTCTTAGTTGTTGAGCCAGGTTTCCAACCCCACCAATAGATTCTTGGCGGCAAAAAGACCAACTGAGAGCAGGCCCTGCCCGAAGCCTGAGATCAGTTGAGTCTGAAGAGCTGAACTCACAAAGTCCACAAAGGTCAAAGTATCAGAGTGAGTGAAGAAAGACCCATGGGCTTCCTCACCCTGTAAAGCAAAAGGGACGAGGATTGTGTCTGCCATGTCCTCTAGGAAGTGAACCGGGGCATACAGGCTCCCCTAGACTATTGTCTCTAGGAAGTACATCTTGAAGCCTGGGGAAGTTCAATGTGAGATGCAAATTAACAAAGCCACTATTCATAACAAATAAATGGTGCTCTTCAATCCAGGAGGAAATGAAAGCCCAGCTGAATCTCATTTGGGAGGTAGAGGCTGAAGAGCCACAGTCAGGAGACGTCCAAAGTCAACATCACACGGACAATGTCCTGTTCAACCCACTGTGATACTGATTCCCTCCCACACCAATCAGAGCCCCAAAATGGCTGGGGTGCACGGACCTGAAGGCCTGAAAGTCTCTCTGCTTTTGTGTCTTTATGAATGCAGATGAAGTTTGCCTCTCTAAAGCCTTCCAATGACCTCCAATGATTGTCTTTAGAAAGTGGCTGCTGTCCACCTAGAAATCAAGGCCCTTGTCTTCCCATCCACCCTCCCATTCCTAACCCTAGAGTCCTCTGGGCACAGTCTCATAGTTCATGGATAGTTCTGTCATGTGCTCTGTGATTCCTTTTGAAACATTTCACCCAAATTTTCAGGCTGATTCTCACTGTGCTTCCTCTCAGACCGACCTCCCAGGGGAGAGTGACCTTTGTCCTGTTTCCTAAAGTCCTCTCTCTGGGACACTGTCCTTGCCAAGGGTTTGGTCCAGGACCAGCTGTGAACTATTCCCAAGGCTCACCCTAGGCATCCTGATCTTGCTTTCCACACCCAGGTCCTTTTGGACTAGCACACATGGGAAATCCATCACGTTATCTGACCTTCCAAGGATCAGACGCCAAAACAAAATGTGCAAGGATTTTATTGGGAAACACCTATACGGCAAATGAGGTTGGAGCCAGGGAAACGTCGGGCTCTGACTCAGGTCGGAATTCCAAGGGTAGTGGTCCTCAAGCCGAAGCCAGCTGTTAGAGGAGTCTAGTATCCCCAGGAACAGGTCAGACATAACGTCCCTGCCATGTTCTGCCTTTGCCTCGGAATTGTCCCTGGGCCATGTGACCCCAGTGCAAACACAGCAATGATGGATGGAGCTCAGAGCAGAGCAGCAGGCCAAGCATGTCAGAGAAGTCTGGGGATGGGAGGAAAGTTATCTCAGGTGTTCATGAACTTGGTTTGGTATAGTTTCCCTCTATACCCTGAGCCTTTTTTTTTTTTCTGAGACAGGGTTTCTCTGTGTAGCTTTGGAGCCTGTCCTAGAACTCGAGCTGTAGACCAGGCTGGCCTCAAACTCACAGAGATCCACCTGCTTCTGCCTCCCAAGTGCTAGGATTAAAGGCATGTGCCACCACAGCCTGGCTGCCCTAAGCCTTTTTCAGTGACTTCAATAAAAAAATCAAGAAGAGAAAGAGAGAGAGAGAGAGAGAGAGAGAGAGAGAGAGAGAGAGAGAGAGACAGAGAGACAGAGAGAGAGAGACAGAGAGAGAGAGAGACAGAGAGAGAGAGACAGAGAGAGAACCTCTAGATCTAAGTACCTCGGTCTGTACAGTGGGTATGTGTTTATCTGTGGAGTTTTGTGTGTGTTACTGGGGGTGGGTCACATGCCACAGTGTGTGTAGAGATCAAAGGACATCTTGCCTAGAGTCTGTCTATCCTTCTACCAGGTAGGTATCAGTGATTGAATTCAGGTTGTTGTATGGTGACAGTCATCTTTCCCTGGTGAGCCATTTCATCAGCCCTATCTCTGAGCTTTTATATTTGTATACATATTTCTATGTCTGTGTTTGTGTATTATATATCTCTGTCTGTCTGTCTGTCTGTCTCTGTGTACTGTATAGATGTATGTGTCTGTATTTTTCTATTTGTGTGTACTATATATGTATAAGTGTGTGTGTGTGTGTGTGTGTGTGTGTGTGTGTGTGTATTCAGAATCACCTCCTACAGTCACAACTAATCTACCCAGAGGCCTCACCCCATCTCCGTTGCTGCTTTTCAGACCATCCTGGTCGGTGACAGTGGCGTTGGGAAGACATCTCTACTGGTTCAGTTCGACCAGGGCAAGTTCATCCCTGGCTCCTTCTCAGCCACTGTGGGCATCGGATTCACAGTAAGTACTCACTGGCTCTGCCAGCCCTGGAGGCACTGTATGTGTGTCAGGGTGCCAGCCAGAAACAGGCAGGTGCTTATACGAGACCATTAGAAGGATCTGAGTAAACAACTATTTCCAGAGATGCAGGCAAGTTGATGAGGACTGGAAAGGGTTGGGCTTTGGCATGGTGGTGTGGAGGCTCTGTTTTACTTTGAGTCTAAAGGCCAACAATACAAATGTATCTGGGTGTGGATACTCAGGTCAGCCCAAGGATGCAAAGATTCTGGAAGGGTAAGAAATGGCACATGACTGCACGGAATGTGCAAACTTGCATGGCCATGTGGGCTGGGAGTCAGCAGGCAAGGGCTGAGTCTGGCTTTTAGTTCTCAGTGTCTCCTGGGACACAGCACTGGGGTGTGAGTGGATAAGTGGGTATCTAATTAGAAAGGGGTCAGACCCCTTTCCCCACCATTCTCCACAGTCTAGTAGCCCTGCTCTGTCATATATCCTCATGTGACGGACCAGCCCCCACATTTATTTACCCCAGGGACTCTTGAGGAATGAGAGATAAGAGACTTAGTTAGAAAGAGAGGGGAGAGAAACAGAGAGATACTCAGGATAAACTCTGGTGGACCTGGATCCTTACCCACCGGCCCAGAACTTTAGTCCAAAGGTCTATTTATAACCATGCCAAGGGGTGGAGCAAAAGACCTCCCCCTTGCTAGTTACAGTCAAGTGTAGACCCTTAAAAACACCTGATACTCAGGCCCGTGGTCCAATCAACCTCTCATGCAGTCCTGCTGGGTACAGCCACTAGGAAACCTGGTGGGCTACAACACCCTCACCTCCCTGACTTTCTCATGCCTGCAGGTACCCTCTGATCCCCTTGAGTTCTTGGAAAGGTCTTCCATATGGCTTTGCCCCTTTCTCGTGCTGCTGAGTCTCTGAAATCCTAGAATCTCAGAGACAGGCAGAGGAGGTGTCATGTCTTGGGTACTGTGGGGGTTTGAAAACCTCTAGACAAACCAAAGCACGGGGTCTGTGAGGTCACATTTGGGACTGGGACACACCATGCTACACTGAGGAAAAGAGAGAGGAGGAAATCCAGAAATGGGCTTTCCCCAGAGGTCAGAGGAAGGCAAGGGTCCAGTCTGGACATAGAAACAGGTGACTTCAGGAGGTGAGTGGGAATGGAGAGCTGCCCAGCCTGTGAACTAACTGTCTGACCCGGAACCTGTCTGGAAACATCCCCACCCAAGTGCTCTCAAAATTAGGGTGAGTTGAGCCCTGGCCTTCTCTAAGGGGAAGGCTGAACAAGGTAGGGCTGAGTCCCAGAAGGCCAAGGCTATTTGGGCAATCCCTAAGACCTCGGATCAGCCTGTCTGGAAGTAAGATGGATATCTCTGTGCCAGGGATAGCCTACTCCAGCCAAGATCACACCTCCCTCACAGTCACACCCATGTCTTATTTTTACCTATCCTTGCACCTGACTTGGAGAACAGAGAGTAGGTGATCCTGGGTCTGAAAATTCTGATGCACATCCGGACAAGTCATGGGGGTATCATCTCTGAACTTGGCGACTAGATTGGCAAGGAAATTAAGGCAAATCTACGAGAGAGAAGAAAGAATTTAGTCAGAGAAATCCAAGCCTCCCAGCCGGGATAAGAGAAGTCTCCAGTTGACCTTGGGATAGCCTTGCACATCCTCAACCGAGGCCAGCATCCAGAATATTGGCAGCTTGAGTGAAGCTTGAGCCTGGAGACACTTGGGTCAAGGGTGAGAACTACAAACAAGCACAACCATGCTCCACAGCTGGGACCCAAATCCAGGGAAAGTCTCACTAGGGACAGCGGGCAGGAAAACCACATGTGACAGTAACCGCACAGAGGAAGTGTGATGGAGTCCAGCCATGGCTGGATTGTGACAATGTGTATTCCCCTTATTACTATTCCGTTTAGTGTTAGGAACCTTCCACTCCCTCCTGGTTCATCCCCTGCCCAAAACAGCTGGATCTTTGCACTGCAGCCATTCTCCCACATCCTGCTAGGCAAGGATGCTGAAGGACACTGGGTGTCCTTCAAATACTGGTCCCTAGAGATATTGGTTATAAAACCCTTGCTTACTGACCTATCATGCAGTGAGATTTATTATTATTATTATTATTATTATTATTATTATTATTATTATTATTATTATTTTCTATGTGTATAGTTGTTTTTGTGCCTAATGCCCAGGGAGACCAGAAGAAGGCACTGGATCCCCTGAAACTGTAGTTACAGACAGCTGTGTGCTGCCAAGTGGATTCTGGGAATCAAACCCAGGTCTTCTGGAAGAGCCAACAGTGTCCTTAACCACTGAGCCATCTCAAGCCGCAACTGAGAGATTTTTTTTAAGCACATAGAGTAATTTGCAAGTGCCCTAGGTCAGGGCTTGGACCCCAGAGTAGTGACAACTGGAGCAGAAGAGGCCACCAGGCTCTTGCTGGCCCTGCTCAGGAGGCTGAATGCAGCCTGGGCATCAAGAGAAGGGGACACAGATTGAAATGGCCCTTGCTGAGAAAATTCCAGGTCTGTGGCCTTTCAGGCATGGAACTGACACCTCTCAAGTCCTGGCATCCCCCCAATTCTCTATCACAAGCCTTGCCAAACTGGCTGCAGAGTGCTGTTGCTGGGTTTATTGGAGTGCTAACATCAACAGGATTCACAGCGGTATTAATCAGACTCTGTGTCTTTTCTAGCGTTCTGATGTAAAACACTAGACTTCTTTTAAATGGTACTAGTCTCTTTGGGAGCCCTACCTTCATTACCCCTGTTTAGCACATGCTTTTATAACCAAACTGCAGGTTTTTCAAGACTTCCTGTTCATCTTCTTGCTCTTGAGTCACTATAAACCCAGCTATAAGCAGCTGGCAATAACTATGCCAGAGCCTGAATATTAAACTGCCTTAATATTTCCTCCACTGGGTTAATTAGCTCCCTGCTTTTAAACTCAGCCCTCTACCAAGTCTAAGAACCCAGGTAAAATGTTAAAAAGTTCTTAGCAAGATTGTAACATGAATAGTTTATAGTCCAATACACCCCTCCCCCCGAAATTCTCATTCCCATCTAAAACCTCATAAATACCATCTTTATTGTCCACATTTTTTTTCATCATCACAATCACCTATTGAGGTCAGTGTATAGCACTCTAGGGCCTTTGCTAGCCCATGTGTCCAAACTCTTCCAAATTCTTCCTGCAAACCAGTTCCAAAGGCAAGGACCCTCACAGTTAGATTAGTCACAGCAGCATCCCCTCTCCTGGTACCAATTTTATGCATTAGACTTTTTATCACTTTAGTTTTTAAAAGCTGCCATAAACAACTTGAGGAAAGATTTCTTTTGGCTCACAATTTCAGAGCTTCTTTTGTGGTCCTTGGCTCTGTTATGCTGGACTCATAATGAGACAAAACATCAGAGCTACTCACCTCATGGCAGGCAGGAACCAGGGAGAGAGATCAAGTGTAGCTAGAGTTTTTCTCTCTGGGTCCCAACAAGTCCCAGCAGTCCCTTAGACCACTTATAAAATAAACATACAGACGCTTATATTATTTAAACTGCTCGGCCATTAGCTCAGGCCTACCATTGTCTAGCTCTTACTCTTATACTAAGCCCATTTCTGTTAATCTATATGTCGCCACGTGTTCCGTGGCTTTACCTGTTGCCTCTACATGATGCTCCCTGGACGGCAGCTGGTGTCTCCCTCTCTCTGTCTTCCTGTCCTTTCCTTTCCCCTCTCTGCTAGTCCCGCCTATACTTCCTGCCTGGCTACTGGCCAATCAGTGTTTTATTTATATAGAGCAATATCCACAGCAATCAAGTATAACTTAAAAGTATAAACCTGTGACCTACTTTCTCCAGCTAGGACTTGGCTCTTAAAAATTCTACCATCTCCCAAAATATTGCCACTGGCTGAGGACCAGGTATTTCCTAGAGAGAAACTTATGCAAGGACATTTTGTATTCAAACCATAAAACATTAGCCTTTCTAATCAACCCCTGTTCCACTGCAGGACAGATCTTCCTTGTTACAGCTTGTCTTTATTTTTCCCAGACTCTCCAGTTTATCTAAACAATATTGTAAAATTTATCTCCAAAACCTTCCTCTGTCCATCTCCCATCATCTCACTATTGCCTATTAAAGTCTAAACCCTTCACCTTCTGGTCAAGGTAGCACACAATTGAGGCTAGTGGTTCTCAACACTCATTTGGAGTGTGTAAAAACCTGCAGAGGCTGTCTGCGTAGGATCAGGATAGGGGAAGAGTCAGCATTTTGACATGACCTGGGAGCTGTGGCTGTGGGTGATCTATGCACCACAGTTTGCAAAACCTGAGTGTCGACCTTGTTGCTCCAGCCCCTACCCTCTTCTCCCCTCCACATCTGGACCCTGCAGTCACTGTGCTATGTGGTCAACAACCCTGGGGTTCTCTTCAGCCCACCTGCATATCTGGGAGGAACCCCAGTGTTCCTCTAAATAGAGGAAGGCGCCTATCAAGAAGGCTGTGTGAGTGTGTGGGCTGTGACCTATAACACAGTAGAGCAGGGCTTCTGATTGGATGGTAATGCAGTGTGTATGTGCATTTCACATCTGGGGGGGTGCATGAGAGAGGTTGGATAATTTATATTGTTTTATATTTGAGGGTGATTTGGGGCATCTGGAAAGGATGTGAGATGTCTTAGTTAGGGTTTCTATTGCTGTGAAGAGACACCATGACCACAGCAACCCTTATAAAGGAAAACATTTAATTGAGGTGGCTTACATTTTCAAAGGTTTAGTCCATTATCATTATGGCGGGGAGCATGGTGGCATGCAGGCAGACATGGTGCTGGAGAATTCTACATCTTGATCCAAAGGCAACAGGAAGTGGTCTGTCTCACCGGGCATGGCTTAAGCATATGAGACCTCGAAGCCCACCTCCACAGTGACACACTTCCTCCAACAAGACCACACCTACTCCAATAAGGCCACACCTCCCAATAGTGACCCCACAACTCCCTTTGGGGGCCATTTTTTTTTCAAAATACCACATGAGATATGTAGTCAATTTGTGAGCATTGACGCATCCTATGTGTTCTTAGTGTGATGCAAATTATGTCTGTGATTTCCATGTAGTAACAGACATGCATCCATGTCTGTTTACCCAGAGGTCCCAACAAGCATTGCCCAGAAAAAGGACTGCACTCTCCCAGTTCTCTGTAAGAATACTTTTGTCTCTGCTGTCTCTCAAGATGCCTGGTCTGCTCCATGCCAAACCTATCCTTCTAAAAAGAGTATAACCCATGACCTACTTCCTCCAGCTAAGCCCTGACCCCTGAAGCCTCTACCTCCTCCCCAAATAATCTGGAGCCAACAATACAAACCAAAATCCCCAACCAAGGTGTCAGCAGGTTCACCTTAGCATTCTCCCTGCTGTTGCCCAGCTTTGTTTAGCCCCGGGCATCCTTCGTGTCTTCACAAGACTGTCTTCTCCCTGTTTGCTTTAAGTCTTTTCTAGTAACACCAGCCACATTGGTTTAGGGGCTTGTCTCTGTTACTTTCCCTCTTGCTGTGATAAACTACGCTGGTGCGATTTATTAAGAAAGTAAGTCTGGGGTGGTAGTCCATCATGGCAGGGAAGCCCAGCAGCAGGGGCTTGAAGAGGCAGCTGGTAACATTGCAGCTGCAGGCAAGTGACAGAGAGCAGTGAGTGTTAGTGCTCAGCTGGCTTCCTCCTCTTGGCTGGGTTTGCCCACCTCAATTGACCTAATCAAGACAATCCCTCACCAGGTGGTGGTGGCACACACCTTTAATCCCAGCACTCAGGAGGCAGAGGCAGGCGGTTCTTGGAGTTTGAGGCTAGCCTGGTCTACAAAGTGAGTTCCAGGACAGCCAGGACTAAACAGAGAAATCCTGTCTTGAAAAACCAAAAAATAATAAAATAAAATAAAAATAAAAATCCCTTATATGTATGTCCAAAGACCCATCTCCCAGGTGATTCTGGGGCCTGCCAAGTTCATGGTCGATATTAACTAGCACAGGGCCCCTATTCCAGCATGACCCAATTGTAATTTACATCTCTAATGTCCTTGTTACCAAGGAAGGTCACATTCTGGGGTACCAGTGCCTGGGGCTCCAGTGCCTGGGGCTTCAGTGTATCTCTTGGGGGACACAATGCAACCCATAACATTAGTCTCCAGTGGAAGGTGAGCAAGGGGCAGGCCAGTTCTCCTCTCCAATTCTCTCCTCAACAAGGTCACCTCCATCCATGCTCTGAATTCTTCTATCAGCTTCCATGAAACAGTTCCTGCTGATGCACACAGCCAGTGCCCAAGTCTAGAGTCACCCAAAAGCAAGCCTTGACCTTGCCCCTCACTGCCATCACCTGAAAAGTTTAGAGGGTCCACTCCCCTTTCTATACTCCTCACCCAGTGCCCCCCTCCAGTTCCCTTCTATATGACATTGGGATGGGGATGGTTGACCCACAAGCTACTGAGCTCTGGTATGGGCAACCCCAGATTCTCCACATCCTCTGTCATCAGGAGCTCAGGGCTCCTGGGCTGTACTGGAAACTGCTCAAAACGACCCACAAATTCATGTGGCACCCAGTTGGTGGCCAGGCTTGGGCCTCACCTGAATAAGGCTGGCCCTACCTTCCCCCCTTGGAAAGGAAGGCTGCAAAAGCCCACCTTTGAGAGCGTTCCCATGGTGGGACATTAGGTGCTTAGACCAACAAGTCAGGGAGAAATGAGATATGATACACCACAGAGGACGCAAAGTATTATTAGTACCACCCAGGCGCTTCCCAAATGGCACAGCGCCAGTGCGCTCCGAGGTGAGTGTCGGTGAACAAAAGCAGACTCTGATGAGCTCCAGCTGGGGTCCACCAGCAAAAAAGGGACTGCTAGGTGCTAGCCCCAGAATGCAGTTCCCTGTCAAACACTGCTCAGAGGCGTTCCCCGCCTCCTGCCTGCTGGTAAGTACTGCCGGCAGCTGGTTGGAGCTCTGGCGCCCCCTCCTGGCCACGATATACAGCCGCAGTAGGAAACCAGGCGCTACACCTTCCGCAGTTAGCTGGGTCTCCCGGGTCAGCCGCCTCGATGGCAACCCAACCCCGCCGCTGTGACCTCAGGGTACTGGCCCTGTACCTGGACTCATTCGGTGCTGTAAGACCACTAAACTAGGCTAATGTCTCTCAGGAGGCCTACCAGTCCCTAGGCGCACATTCTGCAAGTCCTAGACATCCTGGCAGGCGTCGTCGAGGGGATGGCGGGACGGAGGGAGGAGCCTATCAGGGTCCGAGCCAGTTGGTGGATGGGGAGGGAGGAGTGGGCGGAGCCTAGGGCAGGGCGGTTCCGAGCTCTCCCTCGCCTGCAGCGAGCCTGGCTCACCTCTGACTGTCCGGGGACATGACTGGCACGCCAGGAGCTGCTACCACCGGGGATGGCGAGGCCCCCGAGCGCTCCCCGCCCTGCAGTCCGAACTACGATCTCACGGGCAAGGTGGGTGGGGCGCTGCGTCCAGTGCTAGGGACCCCCAGGCCGGTTCTGAGGGACATCCCTCCTGGTGTCCTTTGCCATAGGACCCTGTCCTTCCACATCTACTCCTCTCTCTGGAAGTGTCTAGATTGGACTCAGTCGGTCCCAGGTCAGCTGGGTATGGGGTCTGGAGCATAACCCGTGGGCCCATCTCAGTCTCTAGGGATCTAGGCTGACCTCGGAGGGCGTGGGACAAGGTAGATCAGAAGGACTTAGACTCCCCACCCTGTGGACAACAACCTAGTTCTCTTCTGCCACACTTTGGAGGTGCTAGGAGATGAGGACTCCCTGAAGACGCAGATGCCTGCGGAGACATCTCAAGGTTAATGCCCTTTTTGAGCTAAGCCTCAGAGAGTGACACCTGTCACCCACTTCCAATGCTTTGGGTCCCCACTCAGCAGCAAATCCCATCCTTGTCCTCCCCACTGCCTCCACACATAGTCTGCAGCCTCTTCCCCACAGTAAGCTAGCATCCCCCCCCCCCACCCCCTAAGCTGTGTGTAGCCAGCCTACAAGTCCACTTGGGAATTTTTAGAAGCTGAGAAAGGCACAGCAATTAGTAGCAGTGTCCCACCCTCCCTCCTCCAATGGCTGTAAAGACAACCCTCTGAGGTGTGTACCTTCTGCAGGAATGCCCTGAACAAAAGCAGGTGGGAAAAGCATGGGCACTAGCCTGCCTCCACCTCCCTCATCTGTGTCCTTGGAATAAGCAAGTACACCGAACTCTCAAAAGGGATGCTGAGCCAGCCAGCGGCTTGCCCTCGTCCCCTGCAGTAAGGGAGGGCTGTGCTAGGCAGAACTGATGCCTGTTCTTGAAGGACACATGCCTCTTTCCGTGTCTTGATACCTCCCCAACACCAGGTCTCACTCTCACTCGGAGCCTCAGGTCTCCACCCCCAGGGTTTCAGGGGAAGCCACTGCCTAGCCTACCCACCCAGAGCCGTTGAGATAGGCGTCCTGTGTGGGCTTGTGGCAGGAAATGGGGCCCTAAGTTTTCAGTGGGGGGAGGGATCTGCTGCTGGCCAGCCTCCAGGCTGATGGTGTGTGTGGGGGGGGGGGGGGTCTCCTGACCTTTTTGCCCTGCAGACCAGCTGAACTGTTTACCTAGGAGGTGGCAGGGCTGAGCAGCTGTTTGTGTTTGGTGGACTTGACTGGCTGGGTGACTGGCTGTATGGTTTGCTCAAGGCAGCTGTGATCTGTAAAGTAAACAGTGCCAGTGTTCTGCCCCCACTCCCCGGAGCTCGGTCCCTAGAGCCATCGGAGTGCCTGGACAGCAAAGTATCTAACCCCTAACCTGCCAAGGCTTGACCTAGTTCTGAGTCTGTGGTTGTGTGAAAAAAGCATGGTAGGAAAGCTCCTTGGAACACCTGAGGAGGTCTAGGGTCTCAGGCTGAGTACCCACCCCAGGGCCACTCTTCCCTGAGTCCTTAGTAGCTCACACCAACCTTGTTGACCCTAGACATCAACAAACTCTAGGAAGGCCTCAAAGGAATGTGCCTTCTACTTCCCACCTATTATGATAGGCAAACTGCAGAAAAAAAATTAAGGACTTTCCCCAAAAGCACACAGTAAGGTTTTTATAGTACAAGAACTCAGCCTTGCATCCCTTCCGCTCAGGCCCACCCCACATCTCTTGATCGTCAACCAACTGATCCCAAGACCTCATATCTGTGGAAGGAAAGCTTTTCGGTTCTGCCATCAAGTTCAGAGAGTTCAATAATTCTGCCCTTATTAACAGTCTAACCAGACAGTTGGGAACATTCTGGCTTTGAATCTATACTTCCATTCTCCAAGATGGCTGAGTCAAGAGATTCCCCCCTACCATTCCTGCATATTCCCCCACAGTGATCCAAAGATGCCAGTTTGCAGCCATTTGTCTTTCCTGGGAGGTTTCTGCTAAAGACTTCAGACTAACTGTCTCCTCATCTCAGAATAAATGTCAGCCTTCCCTAATTCTTGCAAGTCTATCGTGAACATAAGGCCTCATTAGAAACTTCCAAATTAATGTCTGACCCAAAAGGAAACTCCAACAATAGTCATTTAAAGACAGTGTAGTTAAAGAAAATGTCCCACCCATCAAGTCTTTGAGGACATTGGCTCGGACAAGAGGCTCAGAGGGAGAACGTGGGAGGCTGAGGCAGGGAGAGTGGGGACGAGAAGCAGGGCAATAGCAGAGGCAGCTTGCTGGAGGCCCACACTCCTCTGTCCTCCCAGCAGGCTTCTCGACCCTCCTCCCCTTCTCTGACCCTCTCTAGGACATTCCTCTCTGGAATGCCAGAAAACCCCTTCTCCTGCCCAGTCGCCATTAACTGCCTCTGCCCCCATCTCCTAGGTGATGCTTCTGGGAGACTCGGGTGTCGGCAAAACCTGTTTCCTGATCCAATTCAAAGACGGGGCCTTCCTGTCCGGAACCTTCATAGCCACCGTCGGCATAGACTTCAGGGTGAGGTGGCTGCAGGCTCCCTCTGCCGTGAGCTACTTACAGCTCAGGCTCAAGAAATGTGCCCTCTCCTTGTCCTGAGGGCACCTGGGGCTTACTGCCTGGGAGGCCCCAGAGGTACTCCCACCAGGACCACAGAGGTCACAGGAGTCTGGGTAGGGTCGGCATCTTGCTCACCTTCTTCTCTGCTCTTGGATACTGTCCCCAAACAAGGTAGCCTCATTTCATAATCTAAATCCTGAGAGCCCCTTGCTCATGGCCATCTGAGCTGGGTCCCTGTCACGGTCAGTCTTCAAGAAGCAATTGCCAAGAAGTTGAAGGGCTGGGTTCAGAGATGGAGCTCTCAGGGCTGTCCCCCATCCCAGAGGACTCTAAGGTCTCGGTCTTTATCAGTGTGCAAGCAGGACCACCGCTGCCGCACACCGAAGTACTCTGGAGGGATAGGGTCTAACCCTAGCTGGCAGGCCAGGAGAAGCTTTGCGCCTCTCCCAGTGGATGGGGTGTTGAAGCTACACTGAAAGAATTATGGGTAACTGGAGGAAAGGTGGTCTTGCAGGACAAGCCTCTGAAGGCCTCAGGATGTAATGGGTGCCTCATCTCTAAAGCTGAACTCGGGGAGACAGAGATTGAAGTAGGGAAGGGTCAGATCCTCCCACACACTCCCTCTGCTCCCTGCATGGTTGGAGAGATGGCTCAGCAGGTAAGAGCACTAGGCTGCTCTTCCAGAGGTCCTGAGTTCAATTCCCAGCAACCACACAGTGGCTGGCAGAGAACTAGGCAGGTTAGAAAGTCCCCCTTGCCCGAGTAAGTTTTGAAGACAATAAATGGAGAAATCTTGGAACAGGTCCCCACTGTTCTACTAGAGTGATCTGACTGAAGATGTCTCAGGCTCACAACATTGCCTGTAGGCCTGGAGAGAGACCAGAACAGGATGTTGACAGACCTCGGGGGCCAGCCAACATCCCCTCCCCACCCTCTGCCCTTCTCTCTTTCAGAACAAGGTGGTGACAGTGGATGGTGCCAGGGTGAAGCTTCAGGTAAGAGCAGTGGCTGGGATGGGGGAGGGGCTTGCACTTGCTTCTCAACCCGAACCACAGGCCTACAGCCCAGCCCTCAGTCTGGGGTAACTTCCTGTGGGGCCCTTGAGAGGAAACTGCTTTTCTTTGTTTGATATCTGCAGAAAAAGCAGTTCCCAGGCACCCTTTCTCCTATCAAAGGCAACTCCAAATGCCCTCAGCCGGGCTTAGCCTCCCTCATTGCCCCTCCCCCTCCAGTGTTCCCTGCTGCTCTAAACACCCCAACCCCTGGGCTGGAGAAGGAGAAACAGTAGCTAATGGGTTTAAGACCCCAGAAACACCACTAAAGATGTCACCAGATGCTCGGAAGCCCTGTGGGAACCCACAGAAGGAAACAGCCCCCCATCTCACAGACTGCTCTCACACCACAGCGTGAGCCCTCCAGTCAGCAGCTAGCCCTGCTCCTTCCCACCTCTCTCTCTTCCTAGATCTGGGACACTGCAGGACAGGAGCGCTTCCGCAGTGTGACCCACGCTTATTACAGAGATGCTCAGGGTAAGTCCTTGTCCTCTGACCCGTCCCCACTCTGCAGCACCTCTGCTGTTACTCTGATCTCCTCTACTGTCTGTCCCCCTCCAGCCTTGCTCCTGCTGTATGACATCACCAACAAATCTTCTTTTGACAACATCAGGGTAGGTCCTCCCCTCCCAAGGTCCTTCCCCCACCCTGACCACCCTGCAAGTCATGAGCAGCCAGAGTATGGCCTCTGCAGGCCAGATTGCTTCAATTCTGTAAAAACAGGTAGACCATAGAGTCTGTCATCTTTGAAAAACACTCAGCGGTGACTGGGCATTTCATTGCTATGTAGGCATGGAAACCAAGCAGGCTGATGTGCCCTGTGCTGACTGTGTAGCCCTGACTATGATTCATGAGTGTGTTTTATATCAAAGTGTTCCACCCTGGACAATTATCCACAGGGACCCAGGGGAAAGCCTAAGCAGAAAACTCCACATGCGTCCAGGCCAAGTTGCAACTCAAGAAGACAGAGTGAGTGGCGATGTCCTCACAACCAATTAGAGAACAGAGGCAATAACCAATAAATACAAGCATGACTATGTGCACAACATTGTATAGGTTTTATGTGCTTCTTGACCTTGAGGACTGGTTTCTGAAAAGCAAGAGGAGGGGATAAGACAGCTAGCTATAAAAGGATGGAAACGGCATAGCATTGCCACTTCCAATCCTATACTCATGGCAGACATCACTAATCGATCTCAGTACTTTTTGGTCAGAAAGGCAATACAGAAAAACAAAATCCAGAGCCTAGTATATTGAAGACAAGTATTTTACTACCATACAACATCCCCAGCCAAGCTTAGCCATCTCTAGCTCCATCTCCACCTCCAGTTCCTGTTTGTTGTTGTTGTTGGGTTGTTTTGTTTTGAGGCAGGGTCTAGATATGTAGCTCAGGCTGACCTCCAACTCTGTCCTTCTGCCTCTGTGCAGGGAATTTAAGCCCGTGTTGCCACACGTGGCTGATCACGTTGCTTTTGATTACTGAGCCCTTTTGTGGTTTTAGAATCCCAACAGAGCCTTCTAGGAGAAGAATACCCTGGTCCTTGGCCTCAGCCTGGCTCAGCTTCCCCTCTCCCACAGGCCTGGCTCACAGAGATTCATGAGTATGCCCAGAGAGATGTGGTGATCATGTTGCTAGGCAACAAGGTGAGTGGTTCTGTGGGAGAGGCAGTGCACTCTGACCCTTCTCTCCCACCGCCTCAGCACCAGCCCCACCCAGCCCCATATCCACCTAAATCCTTCCAGGAGGGGACTCTGAGGTCTCCAGGGCGGGAGTCAGACATGTCTTGTGACTTCTACCTATCCCACTCCAAACCCCTTCCACCAACAGCCCCAAACTGCTGCCAGGTGACTCGGCTGCCAGCCATCACTAGATCATTATGGACAGGTCAGGGGTCAGGGGTTAAGTATGAAGTGTTTAACTCAGCTACCGGCACCCAATGAAGCTGGGTCACCACACCCTTTGCTAGAGTTACACACCTCCCCAAGTGCTCAGGGCGGGCATCGGGCACACAGCCTGAGCAATTCAGAAACCCTGGCCCCAGGCCAATCACACCTGCCTGCAGTCCCTCAGGCTACCAGAAGAGGGCAGGCAGTGCTTGCTCCTGGGGCAAAAGATAGACTTCCTGGGTCAAGGCTTCCTTCCCTGGAGTTGATTGACTCATATGGGCTTGACAGGCGGATGTAAGCAGTGAAAGGGTGATCCGTTCTGAGGATGGAGAGACACTGGCCAGGGTAAGTGACTGCCAGTAGGGTTGGGTGACTGGTGAGAGAGGCCAGAAGCAGACCCTGAGAATACTCTCTCCTGGGCAGGAGTATGGTGTTCCCTTCATGGAGACCAGTGCCAAGACTGGCATGAATGTGGAGCTGGCCTTCCTGGCAATTGCCAAGTGAGAGCTGAGCAGGGAAGGGAAGCCTGGGGTGGGGTGGGAAGCGATCTGGGAAGCCAGAGGTGGGGAGCGATCTGGGAAGCCAGAGGTGGGGGTAGGGAATGCCCGGCTGGCTCTACATTCCCAGCTCAGCACATGATTCTTCCTGTTCTAGGGAGCTGAAGTATCGTGCAGGCCGGCAGCCTGATGAGCCCAGCTTCCAGATCCGTGACTATGTGGAGTCCCAGAAGAAGCGCCCCAGCTGCTGCTCCTTTGTGTGACTCCCAAAGGGCTAAGAGGAGGCCCAGAGACCCTTGGGAATGCAGTCATTCTAACTGTCCAGCCAACCAGGAGAGAGCTGGGAGTTCAGTAGGCAGCCCTGGCCAGGGAGGCAGCTGCCACCCTCGTTTCTCAAGCTTCCCTGTGTCATGGGAAGGGTAAAATAATCATACTTTATCTTAATATATATAAACTAACACCAAAAAAGGCACCAGTGTGCCATCCCTGAAAAACCAAAATAGGTAGGGACTTGGTGGTCCTTCTGCCTTCTGGGACTGGGTTCTAAAAGCCTGGACCTCCCTCCTAGCAAGGGTGTTACTGCACCAGCATGGCACCAGGGGACACCAAAGCACTGCTAGGGTGTGGGAGCTGGTTGTGACCCTGTCACCATTCTTACTGGGAAGGCTAAGGAGACCCCAGCCTTCTCTTCTTCCAGCTCCCCAGGGGACAGCCATTCCCATTAGGAAGGGCCTTAGTGCTGGGAGCTAGCCCAAAGCCTCAGGAAAGATAAAAGTGGATATTGGGGTGTGTGTTTAAGAAGCAGTTACTTGCCGGGCGGTGGTGGCGCACGCCTTTAATCCCAGCACTCGGGAGGCAGAGCCAGGCGGATCTCTGTGAGTTCGAGGCCAGCCTGGGCTACCAAGTGAGTTCCAGGAAAGGCGCAAAGCTACACAGAGAAACCCTGTCTCGAAAAACCAAAAAAAAAAAAAAAAAAAAGAAGCAGTTACTTGGGTGAGGTCTGCTCAGCTACCTCTGGGCTTCCTCACCCTCCTTTTGGAAGTGTGCCCCTTTTTCTCTAGCATACAAGCACAGTGGGGCACCTGAAAATATTACTTTCTAGTCTCTGGACCTCACATCCCAGGGGATGCCCCACCATCCCATGGAATCTCTCCCATCAGCTTTCTGCCTGGGTTCCTAGCGGTCAGAGCCAAGAAAAAAAGTGTCCTTCCTTCCCAATCCTGTGACAAGGTGTATAGCACTACAGCTATTTAAGGCAGAGGTAAGAGCCAGACAAAGAACTCACTGGCTCCTAGAGTGGGCGGAAGCAGAACTGAACAACCCCATAGTCCAATTTTTCCCATTAAGCCCCAGCTCTCTGTCTCCTCCCTGCTCTTTCCTTTAACTTCAGACTAATACTAGGGTCAAAACAGTTTTATCTCCTTCTCTTCTACTAAATCAGGTGAATGGGTGGGATGTTGTCCATTTCTGGGTGAGCCGATGTAATAGGTGCAAAACAAGGTAGTTTGGTCAAGCTTTGGGTATGGAGAAGGGCAGCAAGGAGGTCTTATAGGCCCGAGGCCATGTGTCTCCCAAAGTCCTGGCCTCACCCTTAGAAGGACGCTGGAGGTATGCAGATCCATGACCCACAGGCACCTTTTACTGCAGCTCTGTAGGCTGGGCAGAGGCTGGTGTGCCAAGAAAGTATGCATTGCACATTTCTGAGGTTAACTGCATTTGCTTTCAAGGCAGAAATCTTGGTCTCTGAGCAGAGTCAGCGCTCTAAACTCGGGGTGATAAGGAAGCTCTCTGTGACCTCTCACAGGCAGGTCGAGGAGGAGCCTGGGCTTGCCTGTTCTCTTCTGGGGCTCTGAGCAGGTTGCAGGAGCTCCAGTCCCATAGCTCTGGGTCTCCTGCATTTGTGTTTTTCAGAATTAAATTGCAGTATTTTGGAAAGTATAGCCTGACGTTTTTTCCTGTTTGTTCCCAGAGGAAGAGGGATCACGTTGGAGAGTTTGTTACTTGGCATGTGGGCAACTGTTACCAATGCTCAAATCATTCCATCCTCATTCTTGGTGTCCTCATAGGCTCATCTCACCCTTAGCTGACTGCCCTCCCCCAGAGCAGCATCTTTGTGGGGAAGAGGGAGCTGGAAAGCTTATCTCACAATCCAAGTCATTTTTCTTTCTCTGTTGAAAAAAGCCAGGCCTCCATCCCCTGTCGAGTGAATCCTGAGATTGACTACCTAGCTGTCCCTCCCCACCCCCTTTCTCTAGCCAAAGGCTGCTGCCAAAACCAAGCCTTTTATTTATTTATTGATCTACCCTCAGGCAGCCTGTCTTCCAGGTGGGCTGCAAGGAGCCTTGGTCTTTCTGCCCCGCCATACACGTTCCTAGAAGGGACCAGAGCCTAAAACGTCTCTGTATGCCAAGTCCTGAGACAGCGCAGTGACTCCCCAAGTAGAAAACTTTGTTACTTAAATAACCCCGCTCCAGAGTTATTCTGTTACAGTTACCCTGTTACAGTGTTACTGTGTTACAGAAGACATCCGTCCGGTTCTTAAGCTGGCCCCGGGGAAGGGGAGGAGTGAGTGTGTGTGAGGGGTGTGGAATGGTTTCCTCGGCAACTGCCCCCCCCGCCCCCCCCCCCCCCCGCGCGCCCTCGCCCCCTCGAGCCAAGCTGTGCAACAGGCTTTGGCTGACGGCAGTTAAAGCGTTGAGGATCCTTTACCCCGAGACTGGCTCTTCTAAATCCCCCTCCACGTCGTGGAAACCAGAGCACAGCCCGCGAGGCCCCTGGGTTCAGTACCTGGAACCCGGCCCCGACTCCAGCCCCGCCCCATCAGCCCAACTCCGCACTTGGTAACAAACACTTCCACTTCCTGGGCTCTCTTTTCTTCTCCCGCTGCGGGGAGCCGCGCCGAGTGCAAGCCACACCCCCACCATTCTGATTGGCCAGATTTGTTCACCCCGCCCAAGAGTCCGAGTTTCTGGCTTCTTATTGGTCCACGGTGATCCACACCCACGGTACAGCCCCGCCCTCGGCTTTAGGAGCTGGGGCGGGCTCTGGAACGCTCAGACGCCGCGCAGGGCGGGGATTGGCTCGCTCCCTTCCTGTGCGTTCGCTGCCGCGGTTCGTGGGACACCTGCTCGCTGTGCCCGGTGTGGTGCTCAGCTCCTAACTCGGGCTCCGCGGCGCGGGAAGAAAGGCCGTGCGTCCCCGGCCTCCGACGGGAACCGCGCTGAGCGTTCGCAGGGCAAGATGAGCGCGGACGCGGCGGCCGGGGAGCCCCTGCCCCGGCTCTGCTGCCTGGAGAAGGGTCCGAACGGCTACGGCTTCCACCTGCACGGAGAGAAGGGCAAGGTGGGCCAGTTTATCCGGCTGGTGGAGCCCGGCTCGCCAGCCGAGAAGTCGGGGCTGCTGGCCGGGGACCGATTGGTGGAGGTGAACGGCGAGAATGTGGAGAAGGAGACGCATCAGCAGGTGGTGAGCCGCATCCGCGCGGCGCTGAACGCCGTGCGCCTGCTGGTGGTCGACCCCGCGACGGACGAGCATCTCAAGAAGCTGGGCGTCCCGGTCGGGGAGGAGCTGTTGCGCGCCCAGAAGTCCGAACAAGCCGAGCCGCCGGCCGCCGCTGACGCACCGGAGGCTGGAGACCAGAACGAGGCCGAAAAGAGTCACCTGGAGCGGGTAAGTGCCGGCTGAGCTGGGTATGGGACTGGGATTCCGGCGGTATGAGAGACTCGGGCGCCCCGGACGTCCAGCACTTTCTGAAACTCCAGCAGCGAGGAGGAAACGGCTTCCGCCCTCTGACCCGAAGCCATCGCAGTTCCTGAGGCAAGCTTCGGACTGCGACCCGCGACCCCATCGCCCTGCCCCGGCTCGCTGGGGAGCGGAGCGCCTTTACCGCCTGCACTTTCGGTTCCCATTAATTGGATTCTGTCCCCCATCCCGGACTCCCTGGAACCCTTTCCTCGGCTCTCCCTGCTCAAAACTAACTAACTCTCTCTCTCTCTCTCTCCCTCCCTCCCTCCCTCCCTCTCTCCCTCTATTTCTCTCTCTTTCTCATCTCTCTCTCTCTCTCTCTTTCTCCTTTCGTCAGTCCTTGTGGATGGTAGCTGAAATTGGTGTGAAGGCTGAGTAACAAGAGGTCCCTGGGAAGGCCCTCGCAGTCCTACCCGCACCTCCTCGGTTCCCTAGTTTGTGCATCATTAACTCACACCGATTGGACTTCATCCTTCTCAAGTCTAAAGTGACTTCTAAGAAAGAGAGGCACTCGGGAGGCAGAGCCAGGCGGATCTCGGTGAGTTCAAGGCCAGCCTGGACTACCAAGTGAGTTCCAGGAAAGGCGCAAAGCTACACAGAGAAACCCTGTCTCGAAAAACCAAAAAAAAAAAAAAAAAAAAAAAAAAAAAAAAAAAAAAAGAAAGAGAGGAAGTCCTAGAGTCTCGGAGCGAAGGGTGGGGGTGGGGTGCAGGGAGGAGGCGCAGAGGCGTCTTGGGGGTGGTGGCTCTGCCACCCTGGAGGATTTATGGTCCTCTGGAATGTGAGGAGTAAGCGCTCGCTTGCTGGTATCTGGGAGCCTGGTGGGAGGACCTTGGAAGAGGAGGAGAAAGATGGTTGGGGGAGGGAGCGGTCATAAGGCCAGGCAGTGCCCGCAGAGCCCACCATGGGCTGGTGGTCTTGCCCTAGTATTGTCCTTGCTCACTCCAGTGCCCTGAAAGCAAGCCGGCTGGTTGGTTTTGCCGGTGTTTGGTATTTCCCCCAAACAACCCCGGTTTGGATCAGCTGCTGGAGGGGCAGCTGGCAAAACAGGAGCTGTTGTGCTGAGCCTCCGATCCCTAGAGAGCAAGGAGGGAGGGAAGCAGGCCCAGGAACAGACTATGGAAGCAGGGTCCTTCAGTGTGTACTAGCTCTCTACCTGGTAGCGACATGTGCCAGCGGTATCCATGGAGCCAGGAAAGATTCTCCCTCAACAGAGAAAGGGCACTGTTCAGCCTTAAGGTTGAAGGCGGAGCCTGAGAGTACCAACTGGTTTGGTGGAAGTGAGGTCACCAGAAGCCCTGTTCTGCCAGAGTTTGGTCTGGGAATGCCAGGGCCACTAGGTTCCCACTTCCTGCCAGTGCCAAATTGGCATTGGCAAGCAGTAGCAGAGCCCCTGGCAGCGAGTTGAACAGGTGACCTCTGCTCCTAGGCTCAAACCCAATTTGAACTTTGTCCCGAGTCCATTGATTCGCCATTCCCTTCCCTTCCACCCCCTCCCCCGCTCCCTAGTTTTCCTTTGGACTTTAACACCAGAACAGATAATCAGCAGCCTCCCCTCACCCTCCAGATACACACCAAGTTGCAGTCATGCTCAGCTCCGCCCCTTGCCCTTCCCGGTGAGCTGCTGGGTGCTGGAGGGCCATGGACGAGGCTGCTGTGGAAGGGTCTATATCAGACTGTGTGGTATTTAAAAAGGCAGTGGGCTGGGGCTTCCTCTTGGAGACCTGTCCTCTGAGAGAACACAGAATCAGGGTCCCCAGGTGGTAATAGGACACATTTGTGTAGATTCCTCAGGCCAGGAGACTCAAAGTAGAACCATACTGGGGAAAGCATCCTAGGACATGTCAATCATTTTCTGAGCTTTGATTCTCCCATCTGTAAAATTGGGCAAATGGTCTGTCTTTTCAATAGGGAGTACTTGTGCTCTGCTAGATGGTTAAGTTCGTTGTTGCCCAAGCCTTGAGCCAGCCCCTTCAGCTCTATTCTGCTGAGTTTCCCTGGTATAGAGTTTCCATATCCTGGTGTGGTGAGCTTGCAGATGACACCCCCCCCCCCACGCCCCATCCAATACTGCAAAATATGCCAACAAACACTGAGGCAGGCATCCCTTTCCTCTGTGTATAAAGCACCCAGCTGAGATTTGACAGTTAGTGTTAGCCTGGATTCATTTGCAGAGCGGGAACTGCTCTATTAATCTCATCAGTTCTCATGTGACAGAGGCGTCAACCTGAAGATGCTGTGACTGACTGAGTGGCATCTCGGTGGGTCAAGAGCAAACAGGGCAGGTGATGAGAGGTGCCTGGAACATTGGCCATCCCCACTGGCCTGCTGAGGCCCAAGGAGGTAGAGGTGTCTTTATTGAGACAGGGTTCTATGATGTAGTTCTGGCTGGTCTGTAGACCAGGCTGACCTCAACTCAGAGGTTCTCTTGCCTATGCCTCCCAAATGCTGGGGTCACTGGTGTGCTCCACCACACTGAGCCCTCACCTCGTTTCCAAAGACAGCATCTCTCACTAAGGCCTGGGACTTTTAGATTTGCAGGGCTGGTTGGTTGGTATTGAGACAGGATCTCACTCTGTCACCTTGGCTGGCTTGGAACTCTGTTAGGCTGGCCTTGAACTCACAGAGAAGATCCTCCTGCCTCCTGAGCACTGGGATTAAAGGCCCACCATGCTGGAATTTTCAAATCTGGTTAAGCTGGCTGGCCAGTGAGCCCCGAAGATCCCCCTGTCTCCACCTCTCCAGCACAAGGATTATAAACCTAAACCTCCACTGCTTGGCTTGTGTGTGTAGGGGGGTTGGTCTGGGGATTGAACTCAGGTCCTCATGGTTACTGGCTTCACTGTCTGAGAGCTTTACTGTCCGATGATCTCACCGGCCCTTCACCTGCTTTCCTGTAGTCTTTCCCTACCAGACACAGGACAAGGCCTAATTCCTTGAGCTTTGGCCCAAAGAGGGGCCTGGGCAGCCCTGAGCCGGCTCAGCTGGGCTAACTGAACCCTGGAGCCCGGTTTCTTCATCTCCCTAAGCCTTTGTTTCCCTATTGTGTAAGTTGGGAATGATGGCAGTGACCTCATGAGGTTCTTAGGATTACATAAGGATGTGTATAAGTCACTCAATACTGGCACTAAGTAAGTGCTCAGTAAATGTTGATTGTTGGCATTTGAAGTAACAAATAGTTCACAGCGATGATT